GGCATATGATTTACCCAGTAAAAGATAACAGATTAGATTACTTCAGAAAGATGTCTCTGAATTAGATTTAGTTGAGTCATTTTTTTTTCCATTTGTCATTTTCCTACCTTAGTAAACCAAAGAAAGTCCTGCATAAGAGTGCTGGAATATGAATCTTCTATCTCCACAATAGGAATCTGATCTTCTGGAGTCACCAACACATTGTCATCTCTGTAGAATATGGAGGTAAGATAGAGACCTCTGGAGAGAAACACATGTCAAGTTCAAAAAGCTGCTGCTTGAATTATTAAGGCTCTGAAAAACTAATACACTAAAATATGTCCAGATAATAACAATAATAGTAATAAAAAAAACAATAGGAATAAAAACAAATCAGTTATTACCAGACACACTGACACATAGCTCATAACATAGACAGAACTATACATTTAAACATTCTTGAAGATAAACATCTAATGCTGCTAAGTGTTGGAATTTACCTTTTCAAGCTTTTGACGAATTTGCTGGTGGGTTGGAAGAGGTGCCGAAGGCTTTTGGATACAGAGTGCTTCCTACCTTGTGCTGGAGCTTTGCATTGCTCTGTGGAAAAATAAAAAATCAAACTGATTTGTTATTTTGCAACAGATTAAGGTCAGGTCAGTAAACAGGTCAAAAGGTGGCATGCAAATTTATGCATGTACCAAGAACTTTTGACATTTCTACCCCTTTTCCACCTGTTCCACTTGGCCTGGTTCGACTCTGCTGCTTTTTCAGAACTGGTACAGAGTAGAGCCAAAAAAAACAAAAGAAAAAGCAGCAATGTTTGAAACTGGTGGGGTGGAGTAGAGCTGGAGTCAAATGGAGCCGATGGAAAAGAAGCTTCTTTTAAAAAAATGACCAACTCCAATGTATTTTATTTGGGTTTAACTGAAGGAAAAACAGACTATTACAAAGCAAAGCATAAAAGCAGTGGGAAGTTTCAAAGTTGGTGGTTGTAATATGACCAAATGTTTAATTAGTGTGAATTGAAAGGCAGCATTACAGCCAGAGTTCTCATGATTCTTAAACCATAACTCGGACTGACTGTCCAATTTTCCTCACTAAACCAACAGACCTTTCTGTCCAGACCAGGTCCAGAAATACCTCATCCAGCGACAGGCTGTTAGGTGACTGACAGCAAACCTGACAGGTCCAAAAACATGGCCGAATGTTTCTTAACATTTAATGCCTCAGTGTGGTGCGGCACAATTTAACAGTCATGCCGGCTGCCAACAGCAGACTATTGGTCTACAGGGAACCACTAGCTCTAAAACTCTCAGGGGATCACTAACTGAGTGTACATGTGTCTGTCTGTTTACATGCACCGTCTATAGCGAGCCTTGAGCAGCTCTATGTGTAGACACCAGAAACTTGGCTAATTCATGCATTTGTGTCTTAACCTTTACCCATTAGCTGACAGGTAGGTCAGTTAGGTCTATGGGGACATGTTTATTTTTAGTGGGCCACAAGGGGTTTGGAGTTAAGAGAGGGAGGGGTATACATTTATGTAGGTAGATGCTTGTATGGTTCCTCTAGGACAGATAACGAACCTCCAAGCTCATTGGACACACAAAAAAAAAAAAAAAAAATCAGACCCCCTCTCGTCCAAGGTGTTCTCTCTTTAGCTATGGGTCACTTAAAGTCAATAGAGCCCTTCTTATGTGCAAAAAGAGCTCCTTTTTTTTTCAGGCAGACGTCTCAAGGTAAAGTAACACAAAAAAAAACCCCAGCACCTCTTGCCCCCCCATCCCCATCCCATCAAAATGGCATGCCACTTGTGGCTCTGTTGAGCTCCAGTCCTCCTGGCCTCCGTCCCTGTTTGACACTGAGTAAGACAGACAAGTAGGGCCGACTGCTGGGGAGCCTGTGTTAGTCAAGGCCTCTTTCACAGTTTAATTAATAGTGTTTGGACAAGAGGGAGAAGGAGGTGTGTGCCATAAGGCGCGCTGTGATGAGGGAGGGGGGGACTCATGGTCGGAGAAGTGGGAGAGTTGAACGAGAGAGCATGTGTTTGGATATTTGTGTCCGTTCGTGTGCCTGTTTCTGTGTGCGAGCCCGTCTATCTTTCCGTGCTAGTTTACAGTATATGTGTGAATGGTAGACAAGACGGCTAGTTCGCCGTGGGGGGTGCAAAAGGGAGGCAGCAGTAGTCAGTGTTAATTTATGCTCTCCTCAGACTCCAGCCTGAGACTTGTCTGTTACAGAAATAACAAACATGACCCAGGGGACATGCCACCTTGACTACTGTGCCTGAACTCTCAAGCTCAATCAGTCGCAGTCTGACAGCCCAGAACCTGCTCAATACTGACTATTATAGTCTATCTCAGCCCACTGCTAATGCAGTATGGCCACAGAGGACAATAGTAAGTGGGGAGGCGTGTTTGGGCTTGAGAAGACAACTTTGCTCAACGGTAAATGCAGCTCACTGTCAAACGAAGCTGGTCAGTGTGGACCGGTTTTGACACTTATGGGACTGGCGTACAGCCGGCAGTGTTGGGGATATAAACAGCTTGAGTGTGAGAGATGTTGATCTGCATTTTGTCACAGAGAGAGAAGTATTCAGCAGCGAGGGCTGAGTCATGGAAAGACTCAAAAAGGAGGAAGAGGGGGTCTGGGTCGGTCGGGTTGCTAAGACAGAGGAGAGGTGACATGCCTTCTTAACATGTGTGGAGCGTGAAGTACTTGTCATGCCTCAGATTGTAAAGTGTCTGTCAAGGTGAAACGAAACACAGTGATTAGTGAAATGTGTTGCACCTGCAAAGCTGAGCTGTCCCCAGCACTGCTTTCTTACTCCAACATGTTTTGCAGCGTATGACTCAGAACGTAGCTGAAAGTGCATCTCTGTTCGGCAACAGTGGAGAAACTGACATGCTTCAGTGCAGAGGACTTCATTACTGCACCATATTAACAGAATTTCACTGTTTCCTATGATGTTTGATCTAATGATACATTTTGCTGCACTGTTTGGTGTTTCTTGAAAATATGTTTTTCTTCAGTTTGTCACATTTTTATATCTTTTATCATTATTAATCATTCAAACCGTATTAAATAATCTTAAATAATCCTGCATTTCAAATAAATCTATGTAACACCTTTAGCAGCAATCTTTTAGCCAACTTTTGACTTTTCCCATTTCAAATTGTTCATTCAGTTTTACAAATGGAAAATTAAACAGTTAATTATTTCCCCTTAAATACCTAGCAGGGAAATTGTGTCTTTAGAGATGAACAGAATCTTGAAAGTGTCATTTTGTAGAGCAACAAGCTCCCCTGTTGTGACCTGAAGCATGCAGTATCTTCCATTAAAACCACATATTATTGCCATCATAGCATATTACAATTTATTTTAATGTATCAAGACTTAATTTGAATAAACCAGTGATATTGGAGAGCTTGACTGTATTGCACGAGATTCAGCCATTTTCTCCGTATCGTGTGGTGCATGAAATGTTCGTAATTTTGCCATCATTGAGCTGAATAAAACCCAGAAAGGCTTTGTGCAATCGGGCGTTAGAGGTTAAGTAATTTTAATCTAAATCACTGAGGTTAATCATATTCTCTCTCTTACTTTACAGTACCCCCAGTTTTTATTTCATTTATTGATCCATTTGAACAGAGGTTTATTTAGCTTAATATTAGGTTTAAAATAAAAAAAGGTTTGAAGAGCAGACTCACAGTTTTAAAATGAGCATAATCAAATCTAAAATTAATGTAAATCTAATTGAAATTGCAATAATTGGAATATTGCAATTTCAACAAAAATCAAACATAAAAAAACCTAAACATAGATGGACCAATGTCTTTAAAAGACTTAATCTTATTGCCTGATAAATGAACATACAGTAAACATGCTGATGTTGGGAATGTGACTCCAAGGTAACGTTTTAAAATGGATTAATTTAGCTCAAAACTGTAAAAGCTGAATTCAGAAATAATTATAATACATGATAAGTGATAGAATCCTAAAACCTAAAGCCTTGCACTGATAAATGTCTTAATACCATGGCAGGCACAGTGACGATGAGCTTCTTTAATCTGTCCAAGCAGCTGGTCGAGTGCTTCCTTCTGGCCTCTCTGGCGTGGAGGGTGGCCATCGATATCTCTCCAGCCTACAGAAACAAGACAAAATCCAAGAGAGATTATGGTATTTACTGTATTATATGACTAGTAGAGAGGAAGTGGTGATAAAACAGCAGTGTTTGACATTTTGTAAGAGACACCAACAGAACAATGCACACAATATTTTACTGTGTTATATGACAGTTATTTTCTATAGTAGGTCAGTTTGATGAAATATTTCAATCATATATATATAT